CGCTCTGGACGGCCAGGAAACCACTAAGGGTCCTCTCGCAGGAACCAGACCGACCCTTTCTTCCTGACAGTGACTTTAAGTAACCCCCCGTGGCATCACACCATGCTGCAAAGGTCATGTCTGAGTGCAATGCACATGTGGCTGAGATGGGCAGAGTGGCACCTCCTACCTTATAAAAGAAGTATTGCACAAGCTCAGATATCCTAATATAGTAAAAATGCCCGTGGACAAGAAGCATCTTCTTCAAGTGCTTGAATTTTGGGATTGCATAGTCACTGTTCCTGGCAGCCTGCCGGCCCTCCTTCCCAATGACACCTAGAAGGAAGAGGGATGTGGTTCGGGGTGGCCGCTCCAGGTGCACCCCAGTCTCAGATGGTGACCCGAGGGTGCTCCCCGTGCTGCATCGCGGCCCTTGCCCGGCTGAGGTGACACATCAGGTCCCGGGACGCACCAGCCCCACGCTGAGGTGGCCGTGGCTCACCTATGCCCACATGGGCCTCCAGGATCATGCTGACATCGTTTGCGCCATCGCCGATGGCCAGTGTGATCGGGTGTTCTTTGGAAAACTTGATTAACTTAACAATCTGGAAAAGGAAAACACAGAGTTTCTCTTCTCTCTCCCGTTTTGCTCAGGTCATTCACTAGGCAGAACTAGTGGCAACCTAACATTCGTCTAGGAAAGGGAGAAAACAGACTGCTTAGTGCTAATTTATGACTCATCTGTTCTTCCACACAAGACAAAATCTTTTCCACATTGAAAGCAAACAAAGCAGAACAAAGGAGAAGTCAGTAGGCTGGACTAATTGACCTGGGGTGACTGGCAGCACAGGCCCTGGGATAGTCGTGGGTTCACTATGGGGACAGAGGAGACCCATACCCTCGAGAAGGTATGCCAGGCTGTGTGTATCATGCAGCTGTGTTCTAAAATAAGGGATTCCTAATGCTAATGTAATTTCCAAATTTATCATGTGTGCACAATAATCGAATAATTTCAAGTTTTCAGTCCATTTCCTTAGAGGTTTTTCTCTCTGCATACACCTAAGTGTGTGGCCTTAGCATGTTCAGCTGTGAAGACGGGGGATCGTGGGGATTGCCTCCTTGCTTCAACATGACAGGCTGGGAAATGTAAATTCATTAAAGTTTTCGAAGGTCAGTTGAAAGCTTGAAGAAAACCCTCAGTTGCCATCTGGAATTTACTTTGGGACACACAAGAGGCAGAGCAGTGATGAAGCAACTGTGCCCTGCACAGGAAGCGTGTGACCCCGAGGGCCGCCTGGTGCCGTCATTTCTGTCCCTGACTTGTTAGCAGAGCACGTGTGCGCATGTGCTGGGATCACCTGTGAGATGTGCTTCAGCCTCACGCTGAGCCAGTTCCTCTTACCAACGATCCAAAATCACCTGGCCTACTGAACCTACAGTGTGCTACACGGAGCTGGCTGTCCTTCAGGCTACGGATGCGGGAAAGATGCCCATCTTCATGTGCATTTTCGACCACGCTTTTCAAAGTATTTAAAGAACCACCGCAGGTGTGTTTCCCACAAGAGCACGGAGTGTGGGTGGAACATGAGGCTGGAGTCCGACCAATGAGAGATCCCACCTGCCATCTCCAGCTGCCTGCCCTGGATGAGCCCTCTAGTAGGCAGGCCAGGAAACCCCGTGTGCCTACCATGCAGAGGCCAAACTGGGCACCTGCTCGAGGCACACAGCAGGGTCTCCAAGACTGCCAGCCCTCCCTCGGAACAATGGTGACAAAGCCACTGTGTAGCTGGGAGCCAGGGCCTAGAGGTCACACCTGAGTCAGAACCCTTGCTAGTGGTCCAGGCTTTAAATGTCATTTTTCCTCTGTTTTGAGAAGGTACCACCTCACTGGACTGTGAGGACTCAGAGGCTGCAGCACCTCCCAAGGTCTCCCACACCACCCCACCCCAGACGCCCTGTGACCTGGGCCTTCTGCAGGGGAGCCATTCGGCAGCACAGCACGGCACTGCAGTTCCGGCAGATGTCCAGGAAGAGCTCGCGGTAGTTGGCGGAGCTCCCATCTTCTCGGGGCTTCATGATCAAGGACAGTGCTGCCCCGTCGATGATGAGCCCATAGTCATGCATGTCTGTGGAAAGCCTGAAAGAGGACACAGGGCAGGAAGGTCACTCGGTCACCAAACCTGGGGCTCCGGGGACACTATGTACATTTCTGGGCATCTACAGACGCCATACACCCATGTTAAGAAAGTAGAATTTCTTGTTCCATCAATACAACCTCATGTCTTTTAACAACATTTAAAAATTATGTCCTAATCAACACTCAGGGAAAGGAGTGCACAGCTCTCTGGATTTGTGTGTGGGCTCCCGCACTTCTGGGGCAACAAGAACAGGTGTGGACCTGGCAGGCGGGGTCAGTCCTTACCCGTGGGCTTTCTGGCCCCCAGTAGCTAACTCGCAGTATCTGCCCCACTGTGGTGCCCTGTGTTTTCTGTCCAAACGACCTGAGCTGCTAAGAGCATGGCTGAAATTTTCTCTTTGCCAGGCTTCAAAATTACAAAGAAACATCTCTAACCCTAGAAAGGAATTCTGTACATGAGGCAAAGGGAAACGTCTTTGTACCCTTTAGGAATAATTTTAAATGTGTATGACTCCAGAGCAGATTTGCTTCATCTGCACTCATGGGAATCTAAAGCCATCCAAATGTAACCTCACTGCGGAAGACACAGTTGCTGCCAGTAAGGGCAGCACTAGGAAAATCAGGCTACGTAAACTGCAGAATACACTGGGGAGGAAACAACACCCGCACATGGCTGGCCCAGGCCTGCGTCAGTAATACCTCCACTCCCTGGCAGTGTTCCCGGTGTCCCCATTGGAGCCCTGACTCTTAGAGGTCACCAAGGATTATCAGGGACCACTCGACTGATCCTGTCTTTCTGTGCTCTGCACCCAGCAGTGTGACACTGCACACACACATATGCAAGAAGACGCCCTGCCCTGTGAGGAGAGGCTGAGCCTTGTTGCCACGTGTGCTGGGCCAGGGGGATGTTTCGGGCTCCTCATGAGAACCATGAGGCCTGAGCCCACCTCCAGGAGCGAGGTGCAACCCACCCCGAGAAGTGGTCCCTGGTCAAGCTCCCGCTGCAGCGCAGCACAGTTTTGCTGAGCTCGAAGAGCACGTCGTGCAGGCTCTGCTCCTCAATCCTCTTGGTGGTCAGCTCCAGCAGCTGCGTGCCCCTACGGAAGAGCCTGCAGGCGTAGCAGGTGGCAGCCGCAGTCTCCATCTTGTCCCCCGTGAGGACCCAGACTTTGATTCCGGCTTTCTGCAGCGCCTCAATGGTGTCTGCAGCTTTCTCCTGGAGGCTGTGAAACAGAACTCAGTTAGAGGCAGCGATCTGGGCTGATGCACACAGCTGAAGGCAACTTTGGGACTTGACACCTTAAAATTAGTTTAGAGCTGGGCATGATGGTGCACAGCTATAATCCCAGCACTCTGGGAGGCTGAGGCAGGACCACAAAAGTTCAAGCACAGCTGGGCAACCTAGTGAGACCTTGTCTCAAAAACAATCACGGGGCTGAAGATGTGGCTCAGCATAAAGATCTTGGGTTCAAGTTCAATGCCCAATACTGCAAAAAGTTAAGTCTCTCAGTGTCAGAAAGCCAGACGCTAGAGGCTCAGGATCTCAAAGACAGGGATTAATGCTTTGCAGCAACACACTTCACAGCAGCTGCCGGTAAAAGCACAGATGCAGACTCAGGAGGGGGAGTGGCTGCTGGCGTGACCTCCATGTGACCAGAACGTTCTGTCCAGCAGAAAACTGTGGTGGGGACAGGCTTTTAAGAATCACCGTAACCACCAGAGCCACTCGGAAGCTGTAAACGAGGAGGACCTTGCACAATACTTGCAGAGACTCATTGGAAGCCATTCTTCCCCTGACAGTACAGGATGTGGTGGAGCTCCGGAGAAGTCTGCAGCAGGATTCCTGCTG